CCTACTAAGTTACTCAGCTGGAATAAACCTAAATTCAACATATCAAAATAATGTCTCTGTTGGAATAATTCAACTTTAACTGGTTGACATTTCAGACATAATGACTCCAAAACTGTATAGATCAGCTACTAAAACCTCTGTTGCAAAACTCCATATATACCAAAATTTTTATTAGCGTATTGAATGATCTGATTAGAGAAATAAAATTAAACCTACTAAGTTACTCGGCTGGAATAAGCCTAAATTCAACATATCAAAATGACGTCCCTGTTGGAATAATTCAACTTTGACCAGTTGACATTTTATATATAATATCTCCAAAACCATATAGATCAGCTATTGAACCTTAGCTACAAGACTCCATATATACCAGAATTTTTATCAGCGTATTGAATAATCTGATTAGAGGAATAAAATTAAACCTACTAAGTTACTCGACTGGAATAAACCTAAATTCAACATATCAAAATAATGTCTCTGTTGGAATAATTCAACTTTGACCGGTTGACATTTCATACATGATAATACCAAAACTATATAGATCGGCTACTGAAACCTCAGCTGCAAGACTCTATATATACCAGAATTTTTATTAGCATATTGAACATAATAAAATGATCCGATTAGAGAAATAAAATTAAACCTACTAATTTACTCGGCTAGAATAAACCTAAATTCAACATATCAAAATAAAGTCCCTGTTGGAATAATTCAACTTTGACCAGTTGATATTTTATACATGATAACACCAAAACCATATAGATCGGCTACTGAAACCTCTGTTGCAAGACTCCATATACACCAGAATTTTTATCAGCGTATTGAACATAATAAAGATAATTCGATTAGAGGAATAAAATTAAACCTACTAGATGACTTGGCTGGAATGAACCTAAATTCAACATATCAAAATGACGTCCCTAATGGAATAATTTAGCTTCCTTTAACCAGTTGACATTTCATACATAATAACTCCAAAACCATATAGATTGGCTACTAAACCTCTGTTGCAAGACTCTATATACACCAGAATTTTTATTAGCATATTGAACATAATAAAATAATCCAATTAGAGGAATAAAATTAAACCTACTAAGTTACTCAGCTGGAATAAACCTAAATTCAAGCATATCAAAATGACATCCCCATTGGAATAATTTAACTTTCTTTGACCAGTTGACATTTCATACATGATAACTTCAAACTCATATATATCGGCTACTGAAACCTCTGTTGCAAGACTTCATATACACCAGAATTCTTATTAGCATATTGAACATAATAAAAATACTTTGATTAAAGGAATAAAATAGAACCTACTAGATGACTCGGCTGGAATAAACCTAAATTCAACATATCAAAATGACGTCCCTGTTGGAATAATTCAACTTTGACCAGTTGACATTTCATACATAATAACACCAAAACCAAATAGATCAGCTACTGAACCTCTGCTACAAGACTCCATATATACCAGAATTTTTATCAGTGTATTGAATGATCCGATTAGAGGAAGAAAATTAAACCTACTAAGTTACTCGGCTAGAATAAACCTAAATTCAACATATCAAAATGACATCCTTGTTGGAATAATTCAATTTTGACTGGTTGACATTTCAGACATGATAACTCCAAAACTATATAGATTGGCTACTGAAACCTCTGTTGCAAGACTCCAAATATACCAGAATTTTTATCAGCATATTGAATGATCTGATTAGAGGAATAAAATTAAACCTGCTAAGTTACTCGACTGGAATAAACCTAAATTCAACATGATGTCCCTGTTGGAATAATTCAACTTTGACCAGTTGATATTTTATACATAATAACTCCAAAACCATATAGATCAGCTACTGAACCTCTGCTACAAGACTCTATATATACAGAATTTTTATCAGCATATTGAACATAATAAAATAATCCGATTAGAGGAATAAAATTAAACCTACTAAGTTACTCGGCTGGAATAAACCTAAATTCAACATATCAAAATAAT